GGGTTTAGGGTTTAGCGTTTAAGGATTTAGGGTTTAAGGATTTAGGGTTTAGGGCTTTAGGGTTTAGGGCTTTAGGGTTTAGGGCTTGGGTTCTTTAAGGCCAGTGTTTAGGGTCGGGGATCTTTAGGGCCAGGGTTTAGGGCTTGGGATCTTTTGGGCTCCTGCGACTTTTGTCTTTAGGGTTTATGGGGTTTAGGCTTGAGGACTGCTCTATGGCTCGTCGGGTTATGTCGCCATCATCGCCATAAGCTTCCGTCGCTGCCACCGTTCATGACAATTTCGCCCTCATGGAAGCGGAGGAGGAGGAGGACCGAAGCCCTAAACCCCCTGCGCTCGAAACCCAAAGCCCTAAAGCCCCCACTCCCCGAACCCTAAATCCCCTAACCCCCTAATACCTAAGCCTTGAGCCCGGAGGATGACCTACCAAACCCCTACCCTCAACCCTAAGCCGTTGTGTTGATCACGTCATGAGAGCTCTTTAGCTCCAAGGCTTGCTCTTCCAGGTGGGTACTGAGGTTTGGGGTTTGGGGGGTTTAGGGTTTACAGCTGTATGCTGTGATGCTGTGCAGGAGGGTTTAGGGTTTCGATGGCATCTTTAGGCTTAGGGCTTAGGGTTTGCATGGTTTGCTCATGTGCTTTGTATGGCTCCGTCATAGTCCTGCTGAGATTTCCAAGTGTGCGAGCACTTGGCATCCTGATGCATGACCTGACCCACCCTGCTGAGCATGCCTCCCAAGCATGCCATCGTGAAGAAGAATAGCTTGGTTCGACTTGGTTCTGAAGTAACCACGGAGTGAAAAGTACAACCGCTCATCCTTTACTGGACATTCTGAGGAGATAAGCTTCTTGACAGAATTCAGGCCTAGATGCTAAAATGAATGTGTCGCTGCATATGTCAATGCTGGTTCATTGCTACACCAAGCTTTGCAAAACTGTATTGCTGTTCCTCATATGTTGAATAGCTAACTGTCATGTTGCTCATAGGGGCTTGTATAACTATCAATCCTATTCCCTCATCCAGTTTCACTACCATCGTGTTGTTGTTGCCCTCTTAGCGAGGCTCCGACCCTAAACCTCTAAGCCGCTAAAACCTCTAAAGCCCCTAAACCCCCTAAAATCCCTAAAAACCCCTAAAGCCCCTAACTCCCTAAAACCCTAAACCCTAAAAGCCGTAACAAAAAACCTAAAAACCCTAAAACCCTAAATGACCCGCCAGCCAAGAAGCCAGGATCGGCCCCTGGTCCACCTCAGACTTGCAAGCGGAAACGTGGGGCTGCCAAGGGATTAGGTTTTATGGTTTAGGGTTTAGGAATTAGGGTTTAGAGTTTAGGATTTAGGGTTTAGGGCTTGAGGTTTAGGGTTTAGGGTTGTGGGTTTAGGGTTTGGGGAGGGTTTAGGAGGTGTATAAGGTTTTGGATTTAGCGTTTCATACTAACTCTCCCTTCAGCCTTTATCCTCGTCCCCCAGCCCAACCCAAAGTGTCCTAAGCACCTACGTGGCACAGAATACGGTGCCTCCCATATAAGGAGATACCATTACGATCCTAATGCCCAGACACACCGGAGAAAGGCCACAAGCTTCAGGAGAGAGGGCAGGGCGGTCAGGTTTTGCTTTGAGTAGTCAGGTGACCTCTGAGGATGCTTTCACAGCTCATATTAGGGTTCAGGGTGTAGGGGTATGGGCTCATAACCCTAAACCCTACACTAAATAGGGCTCTGGGCTTTCTTTGAGTGGGCCCCTATTAAACCTGCCCAAGCCAAACTCGAAGCCTCCGGCCCTAATTTCATGGAAAGAAATTAAAATTTGAAGGATTTAGGCTTTAGGGTTTGGGTTAGTAAACTACTCCATGAAACCCATAGATAACAAAAAACACCATGCAGGTGATACACCCGACTGCCCACAGAGTTGTGAAAAGCCCGATATTCTGTAAGGACCCTAGGAGTCTTACAAAAAACCCATTGCCTAAGCGCCTCAAACCCCAAAACACTAAACCCTGTACCAAAAACCTGAACTGAAGCCCACAGGCCCTCATGATCGCCAGTCGCTACAAGTCCTAGAAGCCGCACACCCAGATCCCAAACCCCTCAACCCTAAGCCCCTTGACCCCAACACCCGAAGCCCAAATGCTGCCAACGTCGCCAAAAGCCTCGCTTTGATTTTCAGGTCTTTCACGCCGATGGGGATGCTCAGAGCCACCTGGGTTTGATTTGACTTTGTTTAGGGTTTAGGGTTTAGGGTTTAGGGTTTAGGGTTTAGGGGTTTAGGGGATTTGACATTGTTGAGGCTAGGTTGGCCCTTTGAAGCTCATGAAAAATATGTGCAAGCACGATCCTTTTGAGCCCAATAACGGGAAATACAAAATGCCCCAACTCCCCTTTAAACCTGAAGCGAGTGTAGGCCTTGTAGGGTTTAGGGTTTAGGGCTTGCAAACCCCTTATATCCTTAAGAAACGCCAAGTCGTAGGGTTTAGGGTTTAGGTAGCCCTTGTAGAACCCTCGTGAAACCCTGAGCCTAAACCGTGAACTCTACAACCCTAAACCAGGGACCCTGCAACCCGTAACCCGGGCCCCGCGCGGCTTCAATCACCTGATCGGACTCCCATGAAATCGGAAGTGCGGCTCGAAGACCTGAGGATGTCAGTTTATATAGGGGCGTAAATAATTCAAATAGGGCTTTGGGACTCAATATACAATAATCATAATAAGGAACCCCCCAGAATAGTATAGGTCATTAGTGAGGCCCCTACAGCATGTCAGTTGTATAGGGGCTTTAGTAGCCTCGGTAGCTAGGGTTTCGGGCCCAGGGCTTAGGGCAAGTCATGTATATAGGGACCCTAGAAAGCCTTGGTAGCTGGAACATTTAGGGTTTAGTTCTCTAGACAGTTCATGTACTCTAGTCAACAGCCGATCCAAGCATGCACAAAAGCAAGCGCTCTATTTTTATCACGGGTGCTGCTCAGGTTGGAGGAGTTCAGCCGCAGGCTGGCGACTGACACCCCCGAGCAGGTGCAGGCGGTTGCACAGGCAGAGGCACCATTGTCGGTGATGGGGGCGGGCTTCTCGCGGCAGGCGAGGAATGCACACGGGTTGGGGATTGGCTTGGGGAGCGTGCGGCAGAAGGCTCAGCAGGGGAAGTTGCGGGCGATTTCGGTGCAGGTGCGGGCGAAGTGGGCCCCGCGGGCAGTGAGGAGACCACGGCGAAAGAAGCCGCCGACGTTGCAGGAGATATGGATGCTTGCTGATCGGGAAGCTGTGCAGGCAAAGGAGGGCGTGCTAGCTGAGGCTCGGGCAGACCTGAAGAGGGCGAGTCGGGTGCGGGCCCGACCGCGTGCACGCAGGCAGAAAGTGCTGTGTCTTCATAGGCGGCTGTGCTGGGCAGGCTGGCTGGGGCTTCGGGTGCAGGGCGCCTGTAGCGGCGGGCGATGCAAACGGAACCCAACCTGGAAGATGAAGGCGTGCTGGCGTCCTCGAGCTCGGCCGTGTCGCTGTCACCTGGCAGGAGCGCAGAGCAAAAGAGGTGAGGCATGCATGCAGGCTGAAAAGAAGGCATGAAAGAAGAAGCACACGCGGGCTCTTTTGCGGGCTTGTGCTGGCGGTGCGGTGGCATGCAGGCGTGCATGCGGGCAGTCAGCGTCCTGACTTGCAGTGCGAGCAAAGGTGGGTCTTGTGCCCCTCAAGACCCAACTGCGTGCCCTTACGGAAAGGTTTATCGCAGGCGCGGCCGCCGAGCGGGCAGGCTGGATTGTCACAGCGGGCAGCGCATAAGATCTTCCGCGAGGCGTCGATGTAAAACGCACGCCCCGCGGTCGACCAAAAAACTTGCTGCGGGCACAGAGGGGATTCCTCAAGGCAAGCGTAGGGCGGGCGCTGCTCACTAAACTCGCAGGCGGGCACGTCAATGTCTATGACCCAATCTGCTTGCGCGCCCTTGCCGCTGGCTGGCTGCGGGCCTTTGCCCTTGCCGGCGGGCGTTGCATGCGGGAAGCTGTTGGTGCGGGCCCCGCGCAAAACGACTGATCCTGTGCGGGCTGGCTGGCTGGGCCGCCAGAGTCTAGCACAAACGAACCCCCCCCAAATGCAGGCAACACGGTGCCAACATGCAGCCAAGAGTCGCTGGCAGGCGGGGCCGCAGGCGGTGCAGGTGCTGGTGCGGGCTGTGCAGGCGCAGGCTGGGAGCTTTGCGAGCTGGCGGCGCTGGCAGTGCCCGACGTGGTGGCAATATCCACGAGAAGGCGCGGAGCAGGCGGCGCACTTGCGCGGGCGATAGCTCTCCCACCTGTGCACGCAGGCTCTCATCCCCCTGCTGGAGGAGAAATTGCCAGGCGCTGGAAGCCATTGCGGCGCGGGCGCTCAGGCAAGCAAGGGCAAGCAGGGCGTTGCAAAGCAAAGTAGGGCAGGCAGTGCGGGCATAGGTGGTGATCAGGCGGGCGGGGCGCATGTTAAAGGTTCCTGAGGAAAGGACGTTAGCAGGAATGCGGGCGTGAAAGCTTATGCATGCAATCTAGATCATGCTGGCGTGCACTAGGCGGGCGGCCAATGTATGTGTGTGAGTGTGTAAGCTGTGCTGAAGCTAGGGCGTGCATGCATAAGGCAAGCAGTCATGCCCTACAAGGGTGTAGCCATGCGGGCGGCTCGATCTGGCGGGCGGCAGCGAGAAGACAAGGTAGCTCAAGAGGTGCAGGCGTGCATGCCAAACACAACAAAGAGCGTATGCGGCAGGCGTGCAGCAAAGATTAGCAGCTTAAGCGTGCCAAGCGGGCCTTCGAGAGTGCCGGCGGGCTCCATGGCGAAGGCCAGCAGTACCTGTGCAGCAAGCAGGGTGGGGAAGAAGGCGGGCGGGAAGCAGGGCAGGCGGCCCCGATAGTGCAAGACAGGCGGAAGGTGCAAGCGGCGCAGGCGGGCGCACACAAAGGCAGAGATAAGACCTGCGAAAGGAGGGCGTGCGGCCCCAAACAGCTATGGTCTCGCGTGCAGGCGGTGTGCTGAGCAGGCGGCCGGCAGGAAGGCGAAAGTACCTGACAGGGGGGAGGGCATGCGGGCGAGGGGTTTAAGGTGCAAGAGCGTGCTACGTTAGGCGATTAGGCGAGCCAGGCGGGCAGGCACACAGAGGGGACCATGCAAAGGCCCGAACTACCCCTCTAGGCGTGGTGTTGCGAAAGAAAGGCTTGCTGGTGCAAAGTTGGTCTATGCGGCTGCTGGTGCATGCGCTGTGCTGTGTGAAAAAAGCTGCGCATGCGGATCTGCAGCCCAGAGAGCTACATGAACAACGTTGACCATGCGTGCAAGCAACATGCTAGAAAACACCACGACAACATAAAAANNTAGGGTTTAGGGTTTAGGCAGAGTCTTGGGCTCCTTTATAGTATCATTCCTTCATTAATTAAGCCCTCAGGGATAAATATTGGCACTGATTTAAGCTTCTGTGATATACAAGGGGCCTTAATCATTGCCGCCGGATTCCTCTAAGGGTTCTTATGAGTCCGTCAGGGTTTCTGTCATGGTGAGTATAAGGGTTTCACTTAGGGGCCTTGATCATAACTGAAATAAGGGATCTGGGAATCAATCGCTTCGAGCGAGTCTGCAGAAGCGGCCACCCCCAAAAGTCCAAATAAAACCGAAGACTTCAAGAAGTTCAACCCTAAACCCTAAACCCTAAACCCTGAACCCTGAACCCTAAAGCCTAAACCTAAACCCTAAACCCAAATGGGCCTAAACTCTGAACCCCTAAAATTTGACCCTAAAACCTAAACCCTAAAC